GCAGCGACCTAAACTCTGCTGAGGCATGTGTCGCTGTGCAATTCTTAACTGTCTGCAGTTTCTGAGAAACTTTTAAGACTGAGAATACAATATGAGTCCTTAATTCTAATCAATACATCCAATAAAATAGGCATAAAGAGAAGGAAGGAGGTTTGAGTCATTACAGGGGGCAAAAGTTGAGGCTTGTATTAGGATTCAATATTGATATGGAAAATGAGAATAAACCCTCCTGGTTTCAGGACATGAACCAATTTCTGGCACTAGTTATGAAATAGTTTCCTTAAGGGCAAGTTTATTTTTGTAACTGTCTGTCAAAGGCTTTCTTACTCCTTCCTTTGAAACATCTGTTGCTGGCCACTACTAGAAACTAGACTGTGGAATAGATGGATCATTTGCAGACATGCCAAACCTGTGGGGAAAAATGCAGAAATTGGGTTTGTTTTTTGGCTTAATTGGCTTGTGATTGCTTGTTGGCTAGTTTTTTGGCTTGTTGGGCTTGTAGCTTGTTGCTTCTTTGATCAGCTCCTGGCAAGCAGGGGTAAGGGGGGAGAGAGTCAGGAGTGCACAGCAGGCCCACCACAGTACTGGACTGGATGCCAGGGGGATCTAGTCACATAAAGTGTTGGGGTTCTTGTTTGGGGATTGGCTTGTTTGGCCTTGTTTTGAAATGGGATTAACTTGATTTTTGGTGTATTGTGAAAGTTAGGGTGCTTATTTACCATGTGACAGTTGGCAACTGTGATCATTTGTCTAATCTGATATGGCAGTTCCTGTGCATGTCTGTCTGTATATTTTTAAAAGATTGACTTTCCTGGATTTAAAATGTCAGTGTCTTTTCTACAATCTTGTGTTTTTAAACTCTTAAATTGCTTACACACCTACTCAGTCATTAATTCTAGTATAATGAAGACTTTCTTTAATTTCTTAAACACTTCAGTGATTAGTACTCATTGAAAGGAATCTTACCCATATCTGCAGCTGGTGCTTGTTTGTAGAGTATGCTTACTTATTTGCACCCTCACTTAAAAATTTGTGTGATGGAAATTAAAATTTCCATTTAACTAGCTAGCAAAACTTTAGTGAAGCAAAAGTACTTCCTTCAACCAAGGAAAAACCATAAAGCAATGAAAGGTAAACTGAACTAGTATGTAATTAATTTGATCATTGATTTTCATTTTTTCCCCTTAGGACCTTAAGGATCCTACTTGGAAACAGTGGAGAGAATTCATTGTTAAGTACTCATTTTTGCCATATCAGTTAATAGCTGAATTTGCTTGGGATTGGTTGGATTTACACTATTGGACGTCACGATTTATAATTGTTAATGCCATGTTGCTCTCTGTTCTGGAGTTATTCTCCTTTTGGAGGCTCTGGTCAAGAAGGGAACTGAAGTAAGTCTTGCTCAGATGGTTTCAATTTTTTATGGTTGCTATTGAAGATAGAGTGTGGGGAGGGGGCAGGGATAAATGGTGACAATTGGTTATGTTTGTAATTTTGACGATTAAAATGACCATGTTGAAACAGCACCATCAAGGTGAATAAGTATTAGATGAATCTGCCCACAGAATCGATGTATACCACAGTTGGTGAATAATAATATAATTGATATTTTACTTATGGACATTTTGAGTAACTTTTAATCAGTACATCTGTTGATTCTGAATACTAGTACTATACATTCTACTGCTTCCCATAAATTTGCTAATGTTAATTCTCCAGGAAAAAGCTTCAAGTTTCTATTATGGCAATCTTGATGTAAGGAGTGTATGCTAAAGATCCAATGCAAATTAAGATCGTCTAATTGGCTTGAAAATTTAGTATAGTACAATAGTTCTTGGAAGATGATTACTTGCAAAGAATTGCTATTTTTTTCTCAAATTTAGATTACTGTTATTTATTAAGGCTTCACTTAAGATGTTCATCACCTGTTACAGAGCTAGAGCGTGGGAGTAATTACTGTTTACCAGGCACTATTCTAGTTTGTCTTCCAAAATGAATGGCATCAATATTGCTTTATTAGAATAGAAATAAGCAGTCATTAGTGTCTACTTTCATGCTGTGCTTGGAGGGGATGGGCAAAAAGAGGGTTATGTTTTGACAGGATGTTTTTTGTTATCTTTCTACTACTGAAGGACAGAGTAGGCTTTGTGGAGAACAATCTACATAATTGCTTAAATAAGCAAAATTATCTTAACTTGCTATAAACTACTGAATTCTTGTGGCTCAGTAGCAGTATTTTATCTGAGTAGGCCAGGACAGAAGCTACACCTGAAAGGCATCTGTTGGAACCATAGAATGCAATTGGTGAGAATGCAGTAGACTAGGTGGCATCTCACAGATTGAATTAATGTTGTAATGACTACTCATAAGTATTTTTCTTCATTCATTTTGTTTTAATAGCAATGTCTAGAATACCTTCTTTATAGAAAGATGATTCTCTTGCTTCTTTTTTTTTTTTTCAGGACTATTCCTCAGAGAATGTGGAGCCATTTCTGGAAAGTGTCAACCCAGGGACTTTTTGTTGCTATCTTTTGGCCCATTATTCCTCAGTTTGTCTGCAACTGTCTGTTTTACTGGGCCTTGTACTTTAATCCAATTATAAATATTGATCTTGTGGTAAAAGAAGTACGACGTCTGGAAACACAAGTGCTGTGATTTGACATTGAATCTTTTTCTTAGGAATTGAATACCTAAGCTGTCCAAATGTCTGAAGTCAGACATCTGAAAGGAAAACAAATTGCTTTCTTTGCTTGCTTGCTTCCTTTGTGGTGATTGAAAAAATGCTCATTTTGTTAATTTAAAAAAAATTGCCTGAGGTAAGTCCATTTTGAAGCAGTAGGTACCGTAACCCTAAAGGTAGGCTTTGTTTTATGTACCATTGCCATAAATAAGGAGGATATTGTAATCTTGAATGGGCCTTGTACAGTTGCTGTAGTCATGCTATTCCATTTTTGGCTAACTATAAAAATCAGACTATAATACTACTCTTGTGCAATCTGGCTAATGCCAAGTTGTTAGGGCCTTTACACTCAATACCTTCTAAACAGTTAAAACTGAGAACTGTGCTATTTTGTAACTTAGCATTTCCTGACAGTTATATATTATTCAAAACTTGCCAGAGGGGAGCGTTTGGACAATCTCTTTAATTGGTTTAATATTGAAAATATTTGAGGCTTTTTGATTCATCTTGACATGCTAGGATGCTACAGTCAAACCCATACATTTATAAACATTTGCCGATAGTGCTCATTTTAAAATTCCCTCTATTCCAACTGTATAACACTTAATTTTCTTTGTATCCCACACCTTTTATAATTGGCAAACATGATTGGCATGACTTAAAGCTGTTTTATTCAGGCCAGTTAATTTTTATCCGTCAGAGCTGACTTAGTGCTTCCTCTCCTAAATCAATTTTTATTTGCTAATTTCTTAAATGAATTCAGATACCTCTCACAGTATTAATCTGGTAAAGCTGCCATGATACTGTAATTGCTTATTGTAGTCTGATGTATGTAGCAAGACCTGTATCTGTAAATACTGAATGAGAAGTGATTTATTTTGTATAAAAACCCAGCCAGGTTGCCATTTTGTTTTTGTGGTGTTTGAGAGAAACAGAGGTTAACTTTTGTTCTTAAAATCCTTTGTACTTATGAATCTCATCTTTGTTGAGTTTGCATTTGTATCATACTATTAATGAATTCCAGATTTGCATATGAACACTTTTAAAAGTTGGACAAAATTAAAGATTTTTTTTTTCTAAAACTTTCTTCCTTTAAACTAAAAAATCAAATGTAAAGGTAAAATTTTTTCTTGTCAAAGCTCTTGACATTTACCTTGTACTGTAATTGATCAATAACTTTTAGCAAATCTGCTGGCTTAAAGTTAGCCTGATCACAATGGAAACAAGATTTGTTTTTCAGAAAATGTGGATGTTCACAATTAGTTATGAAGAAAATTCATTGTACAGTACTCGTTAATTTTAAGCTTTTCTGAAGAGAAGCCCCAAAACTTAAGTTTTCTTACCTAACCATGCAACCCAGCTTTACATTCCTGAAAGCAAAAACGTTCTCTTCTGAGTATTGTAGTATATAGATCCTGACTAATGGGGATAGGTCTGTGCCCTGCGTGTTGAGTCAGGACCCTCTTTGTGTAAAAGGGGGGGCAGAATACAGGAATCCATATCATGGAGCTGTGGCCTTTGGAAACTTCCTCTGGTTCAAAACACTCTAGGTCCTAATGGCTTAACCACTCATCACATCTGCCTCTGTGGAATGAAGCTTCAGCAGGCGACCGTGGAATGAGGCTGGTATCTGTGTTGCTACTCTATATGTGGGAGGCAAGCAGAATTTTTTCCCCCCGGTCTCTATGGGATTCCCACTCAAGTTGTACAAGGGGACCAGGATTTGACCCATACTTATCAGTTAGTGACTTAATGTCTTTTTTAATACTCAAGTGACTGTGAACAAGACAATGAAGCTAAACAGTCTAATTGTGTTGCCTAGGCCAAGTGAAATTCAAAACTTTTATATAGTAAAAACTTGTTTGGTTATCAAAAGTGTTGCTAATAACAAAGGTTAAAAGCCCTTCCTTAAATTGACAGTGTCACTTTGAGTGTGCCTTTCCCTTAGTTAAATCTAATAATAAAATTTTAGCTTCAGGATTCAAATGAGGTTTAAAAGTAGAGGTTTTCACGCCATCCCTACATGCTGTTTTGCATATGTGGGTGATAGAACAACATCGATGAAAGAAAATGAATAACTTGCAGTGAAGTGAAAGCTGGTGTTCTAGAGGCTTTCCCCATAGTTAACATTCCATTGCTGCTTGTGGTGACAAAGGTTCACAGACTATTAGACATCTGATAAAATCGTTCTTGATATTCAGTCCACAAAAGCTGCTACAGTTTCCCAGCTGTTAAGAACCACAACATTTCCTTTTAGCTTATGCATTATGAAAACTAGGCCTGCACAAATGTTGCTGAAAAAAATCCATCATCATCATTTTTGATAGAAATTTTATTTTTTAAATTCAAAAGCACGTACAGATTTTTATAAATATTAGAGTAGTGTCCTCCTGTCTCACCAAAACTTACATTTTGGGTGATTGTTACCACATACAAAATCTGGCCAGAAAATGTACCTTGGGTAATAAGGGGCTTTAGCCAAACACTTGGCAGCTTTGCGGTCACATTCACACATTATTTTTTGGCATTTGTCTTCTAGTGAATCTGGAAAAGAAAATGAAAACAAAGTACAAATGGTTCTTAAAGTAATTAAAGAACATCAATTGGTAACAATAAGCAGTAAATGTAGTAGTCGGAAAATTGTCCTGAATGTTATTTCCTGTATAAATTGTAACATCTTAATTTTTATAACAAGCCTTTTACTTTAACCAACTGATTTTTCCTCCTCTACTGTTCTTTACATATTTTGAAATTTTTGCTGTACTTGGTTAATGGTAAACCAGAATTCTCCCAAATTACTGGGCTAGACTGAACCTAGATGATGATGATGATACCTCCCAGCAGATGGAGATAGTGGGAGGAGAGGGGAGGGGATTTGTGAGCAATCCCATCTGCAGAGCTCATTTTAGCTGAGAAATTAATTTTGCTAATTGTGTTGGGAGGAGCAAACCCTCAGTGAGGAGTTATCTTTAATCTTCTTATGCTTATGGAGGGATTTTATTACTTTAGCTCCTCTTCAGAAAGGCGTAATGGTAATTGTTTTGTATCCTCCTCTGCTCTAGTCAGAGAGAAGTGTCTCTTCATTTTCTGTATGTATTTAACACCCTTTCAAAAGATGCAACATTAAAAGTTAGACTTATGTACTATAAAATTGAGTTGCAAAGGTGTTAAGACTTCTACAGTAAACTTAACTCACTCATTTTACAACATGACTTGTTAAATAGGCTAACATAGTGTGTAAGGTGCAATATAACCTTACAAAAAGTTACTTTCTGTGTCTTACAAACAAAACCTTTGTGAAACTGTCATGCTACACTAACATGGTCTTTATTTTCTCCAACTCTGGTATTCGATCAGGTATTTGTAGTATACAGTGACCTGTAGAGAGCAAGTACAACTGTCTTGGAGGACCCACTTATATCAGGTGGCTTCTGACACTGTTAAATCAAAGTTGAATTGAGAAGTGTAGAGTGGATCTTTAACTCTGCCCCTGAATCACTCCAAGGTGTTGGCACAGTAATAGCCCAGTCTTGTGGAGCATGGTTAAGATCTAGTCCATGCTATGATATTGAACTGTGCTTGAAACATAACCATGTTAGATCTCAGGGCAGGCTACATCTGTAGAATAGACAAGATCTTAAATGAGAAGAATGCAGAACAGCACTCTCCCTTTCCCTCCTCCACCCCAAATTGTCTCTTTTCTGGCATGTCAGGCACCTTAAATTTAATATTTTGCATCTCACGAGCATGCAGTTAACTTATTTTGGCTGTTACTAGCAGGCTACCTTTAGACTAGAGTAGGAAAATGACGGGTTTTTTTAAATGGTTAAAATGCGTTGGTTAACATTTTTAATCCTAGTGTAGAAATGGTTTAAAACTTTTTTTAAAAAAGTGATCACAAGCACTAATTGGCAAATTTAAAATAGTGCATTAATCTTAAACATGACTGATTGTCATAATCTAGACATGTCCCCCAATGCAGCATTACATGCATTTAAATATGCTAGACTAAAACTAATTCTCAAATGCACCTGAGCAAAACAAATTTAAATTCAAAATGTGCCTTTTCTATTGGCTAAATGTCATATTTGTAAGAAGGAGTAAGTGGCAGTAAGAAACCTACTGCCGAGACATCTTCCTGTTTCATATCCGTGTCCATATTTTTGTGTGGTGCCAACAGTAATTGCTTTCTAGATGGCTTCAGGGTTTTTGCTCCCAGGGTTTACCTCTGCAGTGGCAATACAGTTGGAACTACAATTCCAGGTGAGTAACTTTTTGTCTTAAAATTTGTCAAATACTACAGCATGTTGTGTTTGCCCAGTTTTATGTAATCTTGTAATGAAAAACTTAGTTTAAGCAGGTAGAATTAAACTTGCTGAGACCACTAATACTAAGTTTACAACTTTTGTGGGCTTAATCCTTCCTTCTTTTTGTAAACTTAATCACAGAATAATCTTTTCAGCTTCTGTTTTGCTTTACTATTATGTGCACAGTTATAAAAATACGGGGTCAGGTGACCAAATGAAAGGTCGAAAGCTAAAAGATAGGTACAAGTTACTGAGTCTGGACAGGGATATTAAACAAAAATTACTATGTTAACTTCCAGTCTCCATAGTGTGTATACTTGGTATTAGAAAGGTCTCCTCCCTTTCCCAATCTTCACCTCTCGAAGCCAGAAACCAATTTTGTGCAAAATTTAGCTACATGAATAGAAAAACATAATCTTCTCTAATCTACAGTGGGGACAGGTGTACGATAGCAAAGCATGCTTCCTTCTAGATGTATCAAATTAAGTTGGTAACAGTAACAATGGTAAGAATCAACACACATGCTCTTTTCAGTGATTGGAA